TGTAGCCATCAGAAAAAAAATCCAAACTAACTTGAAGCCACTATCAATAAAATGCTGTTGTTGGTGCTATCCAGTCACTTTTGGTTTTTGGTGATTCTGCTAGGATTTTTGAAGTATGTGAGATGTTCAAAGAGAAGTGTGCCTTCACTGCCCCACCAAGCTGTCACCACAGAGCAGGGATTTGAATTCATATGTCCTAAATCTATCCATTATACCACACTGGCACTCCTCAACATAATTACAGAATTACAATTTGGGGGAAAAGCAAAAAGTAGAAAACAACAAGTACACATACTCCTGAAGTGCTGATGTATGTCAGTGGCCCGGAGAACCTGTTTAGAGCCAGGAATTCAAATATCTGCTGTGCCTTTTGGCAGAGGGGCCAGTCAATATACCCAGAGTGTGTGCGGCTGATGGGGTTAACCACCATGGACAAGCTGCACAGTCTCACAGGAGGAGGGACTGGTAAACCACTTGTTAGTGTTTTGTATATAGGACTTTGAGAGGGTTACGATTTGTTAGAATCGTAGAATCATAGAATTGTCATAGGGTTGGAAGCAACCTTGGAGGTCTTCTAGACCAACCCCCTGCCCAAGGCAGGAGACCTCATACCATCCCGGACCTCATACTATCCTGGACAGATGGCTGTTCAATCTTTTCTTGAAAACCTCCAGTGATGGGGCACCCACAACATCGGGGGGCAAGCTGTTCCACTGCTGAATGGTTCTCACTGTCAGGAAATTCCTCCTTATTTCCAGGTGGGATCTCCCTCTGACAAGTTCCCACCCATTGGTTCTTGTCCTACCCTCAGACGCCATGGAGAATAAATTGATGCCCTCTTTTCTGTGGTACCCCTTTGGATATTGGAAGACTGCTATCATGTCTCCCCTCAGTCTTCTCTTCATTAAGCTAAACATACCTAGTTCTTTTAGTCATTTTTCAGAGGATTTAGCCTTCAGTCCCCTTATCATCTTTGTTGTTCTTCTCTGCACCCTTTCCAGAACCTCAGTGTCTTTTTTTGTACTGTGGTGACCAGATCTGGACACAGCACTCCAAGTGCAACCTCTCCAGAGTGGTATAGAGTGGTACTATCACTTCCCATGATCTTGATGCTATCCCCCTGTTGATGCAGCCTAGGACTATGTTAGCTTTCTTGACAGCTGCAGCACACTGCTGACTTATCCTTAGGCGGTGATCCACCAGGACACCTAAATCTCTTTCACAGGTACTACTATTGAGACAGGTAGCACCTATCTTTTACCTCTGCCTCTGGTTTCTCCTGCCTAAGTGCAAGCCCTTACTTTTCCCACCACTGAACTGCATCTTATTGGATAGAGCCCAATGTTCACGTCTGTCTAGAATCCTTCTGAATGTTGTGTCTATCTTCCAAAGTATTAACAATTTCCCCCAGCTTTGTGTCATTTGATAAGTGCTCCTTCAATCCTCTCATCCAGGTCATTTATGAAGATGTTGAAGAGCACTGGGCGCAAGACAGAACTCTGAGGGACCCCACTGCACACTTCCTTCCACATAGATGTGGTTCCATTGAGGACCACATGCTGAGTGTGGTTGGTCAGCCAGCTGCAAATCCGTCAGGTAGTTGCGCTGCCTATCCCACTTTGTTCTACTTTATGCAGAGGTACGTTGTGGTCTACCTTATCAAATGCCTTAATGAAGTCTAAGTATACTACTTGCTATATCCACTGCGTTTCCTTGGTCCACTTTATCAAAGAAGGCAATAAGATTTGTTTGGCATGACCAGTTCTTAACAAACCATGCTTTTGGACTTGATTGCACATAAATATAAATTAAACATACTCCTCAGAACATGGGGATCCAAAGGTTTCTTTCTTATAATTTTTATAATCATTAACATTTCAGATAAGGCCCCATATAGGTTTAACAAATGAAGCTTTACTTTTCCCAATAACGTCCCCAATTTCATTTTATTGCTTCTGACACCACTGTCACAAAGTGTGTTTCCCCATAATGTTCAAAGACAAAAGATCCACACTCTTCAACCAAGAGACCTAGAACTATCCTCCTCCATCACCAAACTGAAAAAAATCAACATCATGTATTCGCGAAGGCTTTCACGGCCGGGATCTGATGGTTGTTGTGGGTTTTTTGGGCTCTTTAGCCGTGTTCCTAACATTTCGCCAGTCTCTGTGGCCGGCATCTTCAGAGGACAGCACACATCTGCAATTGGTTAATGATAGGCCGTCATCAGCACATTAGTAATGACTCATTCCAAATCTCCAGACAATCTCACTGTTGATTCATGTAGTTATCAAATGCAGTTGGACACAAGATAGTCTCTTGTAGGATCCCACTGCTCAGAAAACACTGATCCTAGCAATAGACCTTCAGTGCTGTATTCTGCAACTTGCTTTCCAGATGAAGACCAGAACCTCTTTAGTACAATCCCTCTGATCCATCCAGGATACTATGGTCTATAACACAGTATATAAATCAAATTAACCAGATGGATAGATGGATGGATGGATGAATGGTGGAATCCAGGTAATTTGCCCTCAAACGGCTTAGCCAGTGACTCATCATAGACTACTAATGGATCCTTTACATCCTACTGTCAGCCAGGCTAAAACCTGTGATGGCTACATGGAAGAGCATTACTGGATTGAGCAGGGAGATGGTCGTGGTGGAACACAGTTTCTTTCCTATCATCATCAGCAGAGTGTAGGCTCAAATATAGTTTCTTATCAGAGTTTTATTTATTACGTTTATATCTCACTTTCTCCAATGATCTCAAGGCAATGTACATCATTCTTCTCTTCCCCTTTATCCCCAGAATGTCAGGCTGAAGGTGTCCCAGTGAGTTTCAAAGCTGAGTGAGGATTTTAATTGTGATCCCTAGTCCAACACGCTAACCAATGGGCAAATCAACACACTATCCCTCACTTAACTGTTTCACATCCCAGTTCCTGGCAAAACAAGTGAATTAATAACCTCTGCTGAATGAAAGAGGTCAGGAAAGGTGAGGTGATCCTATCAACCATCTAAATCGTCTCTCTATTCTAATTAGGGATTGGGCAGGAGTTGCAGCCATACCAAAGTGAAATTCCTGAAACATTCACAAATATTCCCCATCAGCCTTGGGGCCATGAAGGGTGTATTGGAAGGCCAAATTCAATTTTAGGCAAGTTCCTGGTGAGGAGTGCATTCTAGTATTGGATAGGGATAAAGGCAACATGAGATCATAAATCAGAGCTGTAGCAACTGATTTCAATACATGGAGCAAGTGGTACTGACTCACACATATTCTACTTGGGGCATGGGTATCAGAGACCTCCTTCCCTCCTAGTTTGGCAATACCTCCCTTTCAGAAGAAAGAAACAAAACTGAGTCATTGTTTAAATAGTGGGTTGGAGCCAGAATTAATACTTGGGGAAGACCTATTGGGATTTTCAGAAGTTTTAAAAATCATTTACTCCTGGAATGACTTAATTGGTTGAGCTGATCTCTTCATTCATGTGTAGTAATGGAAATGTTTGACATAACTTCATCATGCTGTACATTTGCCTGCCTTTGCTTCACACCACTGGTTCCTGTGCAGACAGCTAGGGAAGGCAACCATATGTAAGCATCTGGCTTATTTTCACAAAAAATGAGCAATGAATGCTTGGTACATCTGGTGTCTCACTAGAAATCTATATAAATACTCCCATATTGCTTTATTAATAACTCCAACCATCCCTCCCAACTGACTTGGCTTAAGTGGAGTCCTGGGTTAGCAAGTGCTTATAACATTACAGGAATGTTTACAGGAGTTGTAGGCAAATGCAGAGTTTGTCACCAGATATTAGATATTAGTCCTGATCTAGTCGTCAATTACTACCATTTCCCGGAAAATAAGACCTAACCTGAAAATAAGCCCTCATATGATTTTTCAGGATGCTCGTTATATAAGCCCTAACCCAAAAATAAGCCCTAGTTAAGTGAAAGCCTGCCCTCCACCATTGTGCAGCACCCAGAAGACGATGACAGGACTGTATTTGAATAAACATAGATGGTTGTAAATTTTAAAAAAATCCCCTGAAAATAAGCCATAATGCATTTTTGGAGCAAAAATTAATATAAGACCCTGTCTTATTTTCGGGGGAACACGGTAGGAAGCCATGGAAGCTGGTAGGGAGTAAAATGGAAGAAAATCTTACATGTGAAAAGGGTGGAGAATTGTTGATGGGATTTTTTTTCCCAGGTGAACACAGAAATAAGGGTAGAAAATATGTCTTAAGTATATTGATCAAGTTTCCAAAGTTATCACACATACATTCACATTGCTTCCATTAGCATGTAGCATATTGTTCATAATTTACTTTAGTATACAAAATTGCTAGTTGGCATATTTGTGACATTTACTACGCATTCTGTCTTATACATGCTTACTTTAAAAGAAGCAAAACTTACTCTTTCATTCAAAGGTACAAATTACTCAGTTCTGTACAAGCAAATTGCAAATACACCCGCTATTAAAACAAAGAGTGTTTTGGAAACTCTCCTCCAGTACCACATTTCAAACAAATCAATTTTTTCCGTCAGCTTCTTTACTATCCAGTTTTCACGCCCATACATGTGTGTGAGTTAATGAATTAATTAACCAATGAATTAATAAATCAATATTTTAAAGTTTTACATTTTATACATATTTAATTTTGTGAAGTCTTATGCAATAATGTATTCTTCAATGCCATATGAAATTTTAAAAAACCCTCATTCATGGCGACCACTGATCAGAAATACAAGAGTTGGATGGACTTGGTCTCAAAATGATACATCTTTGCACTTAATTATCTTTTCTATTTTCCTTCATTGCCGCCCTTCCAAGTCAAGGTCTTCTGATTTTTCGGTTGTAATGTTCATTTGGATTGATGGCTGAACCAAAGTATTTTGAAATCTCTGTTGAGATTTACGCATACTGTACTTTCCACAGCATGTGTTTCGATGTCATCTGCAAACCTGCCAAGGATCTTTTTTTTAAATCATGTTTCTTCATCGACAAAAGGAGCTAAACATTCTGCACTGGCCGGTCAGAAATCTTACGGAAGAAAGAAAGGAAACGTATTGACTTAGTTCTAGATTCGTGTATGTTACATTATGTAAGACCCTTACATTCCTGTCAGCCAGGCTCCCAGCATCCTCCCTCTACGGAGTGCTTGTGCACAGCTAATACTGTATCTCAATGGAAGAAAGGGAATTAAATCATGACCAGCCCCCCACACACACACACACACACTTCGCCCCTTCCCTCAGGCTGGCCTCTCCCTCTCCCGCCTTCAGTCAGGGCTACACGTTCACCTGGAGAAAAACAGCGGCGCCTCAGCCGCCTTTGTGCCTGTGCGGCTTGCTCTCGCTATATTCCTGAAAGTAGTTCCGACAGTTCTCAGGTCCAGGGTGTTACGCAGCGGAGAACCTAATCAATTTATTTTTAAAAAAAGAAAGAAAAGAAGGCGTTAAATGAGTCCCTCAGGAATGCGACTGGGGTTGTTGTTTTCCATTCCCTTTGGAAGATGGGAAGGACGGTGGTTTCAAACTTCTCTCGTAGCGTTTGGGAGTCTCGCCTGCTTCGAGCAGACAGGCGAAGCCAGAAAGGAGTGAGCGTGGGGATATGGCTCTCTGTTATGTGTGGCTACGCTGGCCGTGAGGAGGAGGAGGAGGAGGAGGAGGGCGGCGGTGGGAGGGTTTTTTTTTTGCATTCGGCGAGCGAGGAGAGGGGAGGAGGCCGGGGCGGAATGTGTGCCTGCGCCTCTTTTCTCTCACACTCACTCACTCAGTCTTCCGAAGAAGAGGAGGAGGAGGAGGAAGAGCTTCCTTGGAAAGGAAGGAAGGAGAGGAAGGAAGGAAGGAGTTATAAGCGGGGAAGGAAGGCTCGCCTCCACAGCAGCAGCAGGAGCCGCCGTCGCCGTGTCTCTTGGTTTCAGGAGGTGGCTGAGGCAGAAATGGAGGAACGGGTTGGCCTCCTCTCCTTTTTCTGCCTGGGCAGGGAGCGAAGGGCGAAGTAGTCTTTTTAAAAGCCCAAAAACAAAAGAGAAAAGGGCAGTTTCGGTGCCGCTTCGTCCTGGTGGTTCCTTTCCCAGTCTGTTTTTGTTATTGCTTCCTTTCTCTCGCCCCCAACCTCTCGAAAGTATGAGAGAGCGGCAGAGGTGGTGGTGGTGCTGCTGCTGCTCCTCTTCGTCTTCTCCTCAGCCTCCTTTTCCTTCCCCGCTGCTCGCCCCACTACCGCTACGACGACGACGACCACCGCCACCTTCTCCTTCCTCCCCTTCGCCTCCCCGCCGCCGGTGAGAGCCCGAGGAGAGAAGATGGGCGCCGTCCTGAGGAGTCTCCTAGTCTGCGGTTTATGTTCCCTAACGAAAGGTGAGAGCGAGAAGAGGCCGGGCAAGGAGGCCAAAAGTTGCCGAAGAGCTCTTTGAAAAATGGGGCGCCCCCTCCCCCCCAGTTGTGGGGTAGAGATTCGCATCTGTAGTCTAGGTGAGGGGAGAGAAAGGGAAACAAGGGCCTGCCTGGGCTGCTGGGGAGAGGAGGGGAGCGGAGGGGCCCACTGGAAGGGAGCAGAGCTCCTTTATATATTTTATTTTTCAGGGGTTTTCTCTCAGGAAACTTCCCCCAAATCCTTGAGCATTGAGGCCAACTGCCAGGATTTTGCAGAAGGGAGAGCTTGCCAGAACAACATAGGTGTTTCTGCAAACTGTTCTATGTCATGGATGGTTATTATTATTTTTTCCAGGTATTCTTCCTAGTTAGATTATTGATCCTTGGGGAATCATAACTTAGAAAAATTGTTGCTGAAGGATTAATAGTTAAGAAATATGTGCTTTAAAAATATTTTTGGCCAGCAAATAGCCCAATGGATGCCAGTTTGCTATTGAGAGAAATAGGATTTCCTGCAAATTTAGCATGCCTGGAATTGCAGTCCTATCGGACCTCCATTTGGATGTGCTAATATGCTGTAGTTGTCCTAAATGCAATACTTGAGTGTAGTCCACATTGAAACTTGCATGAACAACTATGGTTAAGATGAGGCTGGAAGATTTAATAAAGCAAGTACCAAGTAGGCTTTGGGTCATAACAGCAGACTGAACCATTACCTGTCCACCCTGAATCAAGTCCCTCCATAATTCTTATGGGCTACTCTTTTCTAACTGGGCGAGAGAACATCTGGACTATGGGGTTGGAAGAGTTGACTTAGGTTCCAATCTGAAATACACTTGTTTTGGACATGGGTTCTGATGAGTGAAATAAGTGTAATAATGTATATTTTGATCCTAATCAGGTTTATTCAGAGATGACCTGTACAACACTGCCTTTTTTTTTTTTTGAGAAAAAGGGTGAAAAGTAATCAGTATTCTAATGTGGCTGATGTTCTTTAGCCAAGAATCTCATGCAAATGCTTCTTTATTTGCATGTGTACAGGAAGGAGCGTCTTTATAGGGTAAGAAATGTTTAGTCATGTTCTCTACTTCATTTTGAGCAAAATGAAAGAAAACTTTTTATTTCAAAGGCCTGGTTGAATTCACATTTGTTCACATCAGAAACAAAGACAAGATACGTGTTTATTCAGTACAGTATCCTTATTTATTTCTTACCATATTCCCATGCATACTTTTTGTAGTGCTGAACAGAGGCATTAGATTCTGTACACCTGATTTACTGTACTGCTTCAAATACCATTTATTAGAAATCTTTGTTCACATCTATCTCACAGCTATCTCTTTTCATTGCATTAGAAAAAGAATAATGCTTTTGTGTTTGTGTAAAAGAAGGAATGCTGTCTCAGTTTTTACAGATTCCTCTGCCAACATTGCGTTGTTTTAATGAAATTGTATGAAGCTGGATTGGAGGTGCTCTGCACAGCAAGTTGATTGATAATCGCTGGGAAAAGTATTCTCCTACTCCGCACTCTAGGCATCTGTTTCATATATTGCATCCTCCAAGGAAAATAGTATACATATTTATATGCATGATGTAAGGCCAGCTATTCCACTTTTAAAAGGAAAATTGATTTAATTGGATCTCTGATTTTCAGAGAAAAAAAGTGATGTTTGGATTAGCTTTTTCCAGTATTGTTGCGCTGTTCATAATTACATAACTTAGTTCACATTACAGTTAAAGAGAAAAAAATGCAAAACTCCAAAGGATCTTGGTAGAAATGTACAGTATGTATTTCTCCACAAGTGTAATGCAAAATTTCCTGTTTCTATCAACTTTCACAGATCTGATGCTTTATAGGGGAAATGTTTCTAGAGATGGTTATTGTATAGTCTGTTCTGGATGTCTCTTCTTCCACTTTAATTTTTTTTCATGTGCCATCAAGTCAATTGTGGCTTATGATTACCCTTTTTAACAGTATTCCAGGTAGACAATACTCAGAAGTGGTTCACCATTTTGTTCTTCTGGGGATACCTTGGGACTCTACAGCTTACCTAAGGACACACAGGCTGACTGTTCTCCCTGGAGGCATGGTGGGGAATCAAAGTCTCAACCTTCAGCTCTGCAGCCAGATACCTAAACTGCAGAGCTATCCAGATAGCCGTCCACATTAATTCCAAAGGCAAAATCTTGCATCAAAAACAACAATCCACCAGTAATTGATCCTGGGCAGACCTTTTTACCATTAATGGAAGCTACATAAAAACACTAAGTTTTCTGCAAGTTTTTCACAGAAACGAAAAGGGTATTGTGGATATTTTGTAGGCATTTTGGTAGTATTTGCTACTCTGCAAAAGTGTGTTAGCTTTCCCCTCGTATTTCTCATTGAAATTAGTAAGTAGGAGTGCCCCTGATTCTTGCTGAAGCCTGACTGAAGGGTTCAGAGAAGGTGGAGGAGCCCCATAGTGGGGCAGAGCAGACTTCATGGAGCCCCTGGTAAATCCATGGAAGTCTCTGTGGAGTTTCTGCTAGGACCTGATTTACTGTATGTTAGGAATTGGTTCTGGATCCCTGGGATCCAAAGGACATTCACTCTCATAACGTATTTTCAGATCAGGTGGCAAACCATGCCAATTGCAGGCTGAAATAGTTATTTTTTGACCCATTGTTATCTGAAAGAATAAAAAAGATGAAGTCAGCCATGTAACTAACATTGATCTCTGGTTTTTCTGCACAAGTTTTGTTCAGATGACTAGGAATTGTGTGAGAGAGCACCATTCCTGCTTGTACTGTTTCATTCCTTTGTAATGAAAATAACACGACAAGTCGGTTGGGAATTTAAGAATATAGGGCATGTGTGGCTTGGTAAAAGTACTAAGGAACAGATATTACCTGCACAGAGTAGGGATAGGCCTGAGTATGGCGAGGTTAAGTGTGGTGTACATTTGTTAGCCTGCTGGTGAATGGTGCCAGCCTGTCATAGGTTAGAGATGGACAGGGCATTGAAATTAGACTGGGAGACCAGTTGCATGTTCCTACTTTCTTGCTTCCTGTGAAGCTCACTGGGTAGACAGTCATTGTCCAAAGATAGGGAGCATGTTGGCCTCCGAACTGACTTGGTCTGTTTTCATGTGTGCAGCAGTTACACAGCAGTGAGACAGAAGTTACTATTTGTTAGGTAGTAATGACAACCACGTGTTCAAGTACTGTTTGTCACATTTGCATGCCAGTTTGTGTAAGAGGGAGAGAGAGAGATGTTCTGTCAAGTTGGAACCAATTCAGAATAAACCTAACAGGGTTTTCAAGGTGAGATATTTAAGGAGTGGTTTTACCAATTTGAACCCAGGTTTCCTGAGACCTACCCCAATACTGGATACCTGCAGTTTTGGTGTATTGTTATGGTCTGAAAGAGCAGAAATGTGCAAAGAGAGTCATTTACTTTACGTCCTCTGAAAGCCACACAGTAATTAACTTATATTAACTAGGCAAGTCTTCCTATGTATTACCTTTTGGAATCCTGCATAGGGATCCTTCTGATTATGTGAAGTTTTATGTAAGCAAAGTAAGGATGGAAAGTGAAATATACCCAAATATTGAAAGTTTCACAGCTGGAATTCATGACCAGGCTCCGGAGAGTTAGTCTTTACCTTTTTTCCACTATTAAAAATGTTGCTCACATAAAGCATGCATCAAGGGACTATCAAATATTTATGTTACATCCTGGTGCAACATTATTGCTATGAGCAGTGCAGCTGTGATGCCAGGCCATTGCTGGAAGAAACAAAAAATATATGCATTTTACAAAAATAGCTCTCAGAGGTATATACTACAGGGAAAAAGCATGCACCTATGAGGAAAAATAATGATATTTGTTTTCAGTAGAGTGTAGTAAACCTTTTTTAATAAAATAAAATAAAACAAATGCTGTATCCAGGCCTTCCTTAGTTGTCCAGCTGCTAGGTAGGCAGAAGGAAATTGATTTGCTTGAGTTTCATCTGCCTCTGTCATAAGCCTTTAACATTTATTTTAAAAATCAGAGTAACTGTTTTAAGTACAAGCATGCCAGTTGAATTATACATGAAAGTATAATAAATCACTGGCAATGAAATTTCTCTGTTACTGAATTTCCAAACGGAGAAAGCGCTATTTTTAAAAATCCTATTCAAGAGGAATACAGTACTGATCTAAGATGGGCTTTAATGCAGAGCTCAAAAGCAATAACATATCCACTGGTCATTAGAAAAATTCTGGGGCAGTTAAAAGTTAAAAATTATCACATTGAAAATAATACATATTCTGGCCATCAACATTAAAAGAATTTTAAGAAAGCCAAAAATTAAAAAAAAATCAGACTGAAGAGAAAAACTAGTAGAATAAAAATAGGAACAAAATTGAAAATTTACTTACTTACTTACTTATTGATTGAAATATTGGTCAAAGGCAGCAAAGTGTACCAACATTTTCTCTGATGCTTAAAGATAATAAAGGACATGCAATCTTTCCACAGTTTCCTTTCTTCCACATTAGATAGGCACTTATTTACCCTCAGAAGGCAGGGGCATTCAGGTAAGGGTTTCTGGTGAACATCTTAGAATGAATAGAAGCATAGAATAGTGAAGTTGAAAGGGGCCTATAAGGCCATCAAGTCCAACCCCCTGTTTGATGCAGGAATATAAATCAAAGGATATCTGCCAGGTAGTTGTCTAAGTTTCTCTTAACTGCCTCTAGCATTGGGGCACTCACCCCCTCTCAAGGTGATTGGTTCCACTGTTGAACTGCTCTAACAGTTAGGAAGTTTTTCTTGATATTCAACCTAATCTGGCTTCCTGTAACTTCCTGTAACATGAGCCCATTGTTGCATGTCCTGCACTCTGGGATGAAAGAATAGCTTCACATAAAGGCCTGCTGGATCAGGCTAAGGGCCCATCTAGTCTAGCTTTATGTATCTCACAGTGGGCCCACCAGATGCCTCTGGGAGCACACGGGAC